ATGTCCTTTCTTTTTAGAAGTGAGGCAGGGCCTCACTGATCATCACCTGCTGCCCCCTGGTATACAAGCTGGTGGACTCAGTGACTCACTCTCTCTCTCTGGGCATATTGTTTTGGTCAGGTTTCCTTGTGTTTGTTCACTACACTTGACTGTACACACATGCAGACATGCACACTACTGATCTTAGTGATTTACATATTTTATATATTCATCGGTTAATTTATAATTTGTTAAATAAATCTTTAGTTCAAGTTATGTGTTGTCCTCCCGTCCTTTTCCTCCCTTTGTGCTGGGCTGTGATAGTTCAAATCTAAAAAGAGTGTGAGGGTATTTTAACGCCAGGAATCCACTGACTCTGGCTATGGCGCGCCACGGCTGCACCACAGTTTTAATGCATCCATAGCCCAGCGTCAAAGTCCACTGGAAGCGTCTCAGAAGTGTTTCAGCAGCTGAGCGTGCAGCCCGCCCCCGTTATTGACTTATTATTGATTTTTGTGCTTCTACTACCTTCTTCACAACTCTATATGACCCTGTTTTGTTTCAGAGTGGAGAGCCGCTTCTGGGATGCTTCAGGGACAAAAGCATTGACTATAATGCAAGTTATGGCTGGTGAAACTAATCACAGCGCAGGCCTAACGCACCGAAGCTGGAGTCAGTGGATTTTAGCCTTAAGACTAACTGGCTATTGACTAACCTCCACACGACCTCACCCACAAGGAGGCCTCAGATCTGGTTCAGTGGACAGAGCTGTGTCAGCAGGCATTGTTGAATATTGGCAGGATGTTCCTCCGGCCTAAGTTGTGTTATGTAGCAGTGCGGATGTGTCATGCAGGTGGAGAGAAGGGCAGTGGTTCACAGGAAGGTTGATGCATGTCAATTCTGTGTGTTTTTAATTGATTACAGCTCAGCCCAACTTGAAAACTGCTTTTCTCTCTGAAGAACGCAAAGGACAACTCAATCTTTTCACTTCTTGATTCTTTATTTTCTTTGAGATGGTTTGATAGACCAGTGATGGAATAATATGGTATAGTTTCTTGAAGGTGACTTGATAGATCAGTGTGGGGCAGTAGATATAGGTTCATAACCTTTCAAATACACAAACCAAAACATGAATTAGTTACAGATAAGTCATGAATCAGTCACACATAAATCACAATACCACTTTCTCACAGAAGTAATAAATAAATGCTATTGAATCTTCAAACCAAACTAAACACGATCCTTAAGTCTAACCTAGGATTTTAACAAGAAAATACCAATCCCGTAATTAAACTCATGCACATGTTACTTCTATCAAGTTCAACATTCACATAACAAATCCCATTACTTATTTTAAATTGCAAATTACAATCCAAGCAGAACCTGAACATTTAAACTCAATATTTCAAACACAGTCAATCATAAATTGTCCTACCAGTTGCGTCTTTGAGTGATCAGGAGCTGTAATCATAGTGTCCTTTTCCAGGAATAAATGAGAGAACCAACCGAACTCTCTACAAACATTTCAATGCCATGCTCTCTCTGTGGGTGCGCAGGCAAATATAGTCCCAAAGCTACTTCCCCAAAAGTTGGTTCCACCAACTTTTGTTGCATGATTGCCCCCTGTAGTTGCATGATTGCCCCCTGCAGTTTGGGAGTGCCCTGAGAGCCCTGGGTGAATCAAGGCTTGGATTGCTCAGTACAACTAAAGCAAAGTAACCATAAATTGACACAACAATGCACGAGTAGCTTAAGTATTCGGGCAGATTCTCTCTGCCATGTGTCATGCATGTTACATGAGTTTCAATACCACAGTGAAGCTGGGTCCAGGACAAAAAAACTCATAGCAAGCACACTGAGGAAAAAAGGAACAGTGAATGATGCACACAAGAGACGCACGCTCTGTCCCAAGACATACATAATAATAATAATAATAATAATCCTTATTTGTAGAGCACTTTTCAAAAACAAGTTACAAAGTGCTTTAACAAGTGTAAAGAATAATACAAAAAAAGATAAGAGCATGAAAATTTAATATAAAATTAGTAAAATACAATAAAATAAAAGGGATAAAATAAAGTCAAATAAGATCGGGAAAAGCTCTCCTATAAAAGTATGTTTTAAGAAGGGACTTAAAAGAGTTCACTGACTCAGCCGACCTGATTTCCTCGGGCAGGCTGTTCCAGAGCCTCGGGGCCCTGACAGCAAACGCTCTGTCCTCAGTCTGTTTTCAGTCGAGACTCTGGAACAGACAACAGACCTCTGCCCGAGGATCTCAAGGTACGTGCTGGTGCGTATGGGACTAAAAGGTCAGAAATATAACAAGGCGAGAGGCCATGAAGAGCTTTAAAAGTGATCAATAGAATTTTAAAGTCAATTTTAAAACATACTGGGAGCCAGTGTAATGAAGCTAAAATAGGAGTAATGTGGTCATATTTCTTTGTTCTGGTTAAAAGCCCGGCAGCTGAGTTCTGGACAGTCTGGAGTCGATCAATAGATTTTTGGGTTAAACAGGTGAAAAGGCTGTTGCAATAATCCAGGCGTGATGAGATGAAGGCGTGTAAAATGGTCTCGGTGTCCTTAAAAGTTAACATAGATCGAATTTTAGCTATATTTCTAAGTTGATAAAAACATGATTGAACAAGCTTTGTGGTGTGCTGCTCGAAATTTAAATTACTATCAAACCAAACACCAAGGTTCTTTGCCACAGGCTTAATGTGATTTACTAGGAAACCGATGACCAGGATTTCTGTTTTGTCTGAGTTCAGCTGGAGGAAATTATTTGACATCCATTTTTTAACTTCACAAAGGCAGTTGTTAAGTGAACTCAGCATTCCAGGGTCTGTGGATCTGACGGGCAAGTATATTTGTGTGTCATCAGCATAAATATGAAAAGAAATGCCATGTTTATGGATAATATGTCCAAGGGGAAGCAGATACAAGGAAAACAAAATGGGTCCTAAGACCAACCCCTGAGGCACACCATATTTAACTGGACAGAATGAAGAGACATAGTTGTTTACAGACACGCAAAACTTCCTATTTGACAGGTAGGATGAAAACCATTCTAGAGCAGTACCAGAGATCCCCACCCAGTGCCTCAGTCTGTCTAACATGATGTTGTGATCAATGGTGTCAAAAGCAGCGCTAAGGTCCAGGAGTACAAGGACTGAGCACATACCTTCATCAGCAGACATTAAAAGGTCATTGGTGACTTTAAGCAGGGCAGTCTCAGTGCTGTGGTACTTCCTAAAACCAGACTGAAACTTTTCAAATAATTTGTTATTTTCCAGCACAGTGAGCAGCTGTTTGGACACAATTCTTTCTAGAATCTTTGCAATAAAAGGCAGTTTTGAAATTGGTCTAAAATTATGTGGGAGGGAGGGATCTAAACCAGGTTTCTTTAAAAGTGGGTTCGCGCAAGCCGTTTTAAAATAATCATGGACACAACCAGTAGATAGGGAGCTGTTGAAAACAGAGATCAAATGGGGCCCAACAGAATCTATTACTTTCAGTAAAAATTTTGTAGGTATTATATCAAGTGGGCCGGAGGACACTCTCATTTGTGATACTGTTTTTAAAAGCTCAGACAAGTCGATGGGATAAAACTGGTTAAAACTCTGTTGTTGCTGGTGAGGGACCTCTGAGTAAGAGGCCACGGGGGTAATAGAGGCTCTGATTGACACCACCTTATTGGTAAAATAAGATAAAAACAATTCACAGTCATCATTACTTCCAGCTGAGGCACAAGGAGGGGTTGGGTTTACCAGCTGATCCACAGTCTTAAACAGAAACCTGGGATTGTGTTTATGTGTAGTAATGAGTTCAGAAAAATAGTGTGTTCTCGCATCCTTAACCATTTTATTGTAGTTAATTAATAAATCCTTCAGACTGAGGTAATGGACTTGGAGACTGGATTTTTTCCATCTGCGCTCTGCTTTCCTGCATTCCCTTTTGAGGCTGCGAATGCTGTCATTTATCCAGGGTTGCTTACTAGCTTTAGACGTAGGCCTAACCTTTAGAGGAGCAGTAATATTTAGTGACGACAAGCAGATATGATACCAGATTGTTGGTGTTGGAATCAGACAGGTGTTGGCTTTGGCTCTGAAAGAATGCGCAAAACTTTGAAACACTTTGTTCATTAAAGATGCGAGAACACACGGAGCTTGGTGAGGCGGCATGAGTAACAGGCGAATCGCAGCTAAAAACAATACATCTGTGGTCAGATATGGTCATGTCCACTAATTCCACAGAGGAAATGCTGACACCCAGGGTAAAAACCAAGTCCAGTGTATGACCACGGTTATGTGTTTGCCCTTTGACATGTTGTTTGAAGTTAAAAGAAGTGGCCATATTTAAAAAGTCAGTTGCATTAACATTGTTGGGGTCATCAACATGAATATTAAAATCGCCACAAAGAACAATTCTGTCATAATTTAAAACCAGAGTAGATAAAAATTCAGGAAGTTCTGATAAAATCCTCCAGGCGGTTTTGGGGGGCGATAAATTATAACAAATATGATAGGTTGCAGCCCTCCAACTTTAAGAGTGAGAACTTCAAAGGAGTTAAATTCATCACAGCGTACTTGATGACATTTAAAATTTTTCCTATACACGCTCACTACATAACACTATCGGCCCCGTACGTCAGCATTTGTTTGCATTAAAGCTTGTTCCTCATGCCAGTCTGTGTCCACTCCTTTCATCTACTCTCCCAAGTGTCACTCTCATGTCACAAATATGATGGACATTATATTTTAAATGTATATACTACATTTAGGGTGAAAGCATGTGTGTGCATCATGTATATTATTCTATTATAAGCAAATATGAGTAGTGCTCAGCATTTAGATTTTTTACTTTTACTTCTGTGGAAATGTTGTGGTGAAAAACTGTTTCCTGTGCAGGAAACAGAATATGAGAAAATGCATCTGATGATGTAGTCTAGCAAATCTATGCAGCCGCAATGGAACACGTCATAATTTTGTTCTTTTCTTTGCTCTATGAATGCCTCAAACCGCTTCCTCTGACTGACCACACAGTTGCTGTCACCACTCACTCAGTAAACAACCTTCAGCTTCTCTGCCGGCAGGTTTGCAGCATGGAACAACTCAACTCCACTGTGGTCACTTCTAACATTTCCTCCTCTCCTGGATATCCACCTCTTGAATCCTGGGACTCCAGAGGTCTGGTCCCTGCGGTGGTGCTGTCCCTCTGCTTCCTGCTGGGAGTTCCCGGAAACATCGCTGTGATCATCCTCAAACCAAACTGGCAGCACCTGTCCAGTGTGAGCCAGAGTTTGATGCTGAATTTGGCCATATCAGACCTGCTCTGCCTGCTCACCCTGCCTCTGTGGATTTACACTTATCTGTACAGCTGGACCCTCGGCCAGGTGGCCTGTAAGCTCCTAGCGTATCTAATGTACTGCAGCCTTTATGGTAGCCTGCTGACTGTGACGGTGCTGAGTGTCCAGCGCTACCTACAGGTGGTGTACCTGCAGAAGTGCTTACATCAGCTGAAAATGTATAAATTGAAAATATTAGAAGTAAAGAATAAATGTCTCTGATAAATTGTGTAATGAATGTTTCTGAATGAATTTTTGACTGTTTCAAATGCTTTATTGAGTACAAATTTGCCATCATAAGGTACGAAGAGCTTGTCACTGGGCATTTACATCCCTATTTGTCCCCAGGGGTACATATTTGCTCACATAAAGTACAAATTGTAAAGGTACAAATATGTACCCATGTAAAAGGGTACAATAGGTGTACCTTTGAGGGTACTGCCCCAGTGACAAGCTGTTAGACCCCTAAAGGTACAAATTTAGCACATTATTTCTAACAGTGTATATATGAGCATATATCTGCATAAATATATGTGTATAATATAATATACATGCGATGTGTGTGTGTGTTAAAAGCAAAAGCATTATTCTGCTCTGGGAAATTATGTCATTTTTTCCATTGATAATGCAGTTAGAGGAAAAAACAGTTAATGAAAATATTGAATAAATGCATGTGTTGGAGTGCATCCAGTGAGAGGAATGATCATTTGTCTCCAATGTTTAGCAACAGACAGACATAGAGTCAGATAAGAGGAAATATAGGGAGGGAGATTGTGCTCCAGTGAAAACTCACTCATTGAATCTTCTTTTGTCTAGAACTATGGACTATTTCAGTTCTTACAAGGCATGCATTTTTGTGTATTGTATATATTTTAGTCTCTAATAAACTGTGTTGAAGCATTGTAACATGTCATTGTAAACATAATGATTACAGTAAACGGTGTGATACAATTATATGATGCATTTTCTTGCTTTATCTTTTCAAAAGGATGATCAGTGAGCTTTTGTACTTCCAAGAGTGATTATCAGTGTGTATTCACTCACATCCTTTACTTAAAGATTCAGTGTATTTTCAATTCCCACCACCCACTGGAGCATAAGCTAGGGGTCATCAGAACCCTGCACCACCGAGCTGACAATATACCAACAAGTGTCCAAGCCAGAGAGAAGGAACACCTGAAGGGGGCACTTATAGCATGTGGATACCCCAAATGGACCTTTGTGAAAACAGCCTCAAGATCTAGGAGGAACAACACTTTGGGGGAGGAAGAAAAGAAGATCAGACGCAACAACATTGTGATTCCATACGTGTCTGGAGTATCAGAGAAACTCAGGAGGATTTTCAACAAACACCACATCCCTGTGTTTTTTAAACCCAAGAACACGCTGGCAGATGCTGGTCCACCCCAAAGACCGCACATCCAAACACAAGAAAAGTAACAGTGTGTGCTGTCCAATGCAGTGAGGAATGCACAGACCTGTATACTGGGGAAACTAAACAACCACTACTCAAATGCATGGCTCAACACAGAAGGGCCAACTCCTCAGGTCAAGACTCAGCAGTCTACCTATATCTGTAGGATAAACGACACTCGTTTGAGGACCATCAGGTGTACATTTTAGACAGAGAGGATGGTTGCCTTGAAAGAGGTGTCAAGGAAGCCATTTACACACGGGTTGAGAAGCCATCGCTGAACAGAGGAGGGGGTCTACACCAACACTTACAATGCTGTCCTTTAATCACTTCCCAGGAAACTTAAACATTCATTCATTCACTTTTTGCCTCAGGTGAAGATGCCAACGATGGTCGTTCAGATTTGGCCTCTGGTGGTTCTAATGACCATAACAACTTTCGTTACAACAGTTAGGAGCACTAACAAACAAGCGGTATCGATTGTCTTGGCAAACGACCCCGCCGAGGTTAAATAGCTGAGTTTCCCTATAGTCAGTCAGAACTGAAGAAGTCTCTTGGATGAGGGACGAAATGTCTTCTAGCACCTTCAACCAAATCCAGTTGCCCTTGGTTTTAACCTTCTTTGGATAAGTGTGACCTGGATTACTGAGAACCTTCACAGACATTCAGTGTATAAGTTTTAGTGGCATCTAGTGATGCGGGTTAGGATTTGCAACAAACAGCTCAGTCACTGCTCAGCCCTCCCTTTGCAAGCACCAAGCAGAAGCTATGGTGGCCAACACACTCTGTCTATATAATACATGTGGTCCTCCATTCCAAATTTCACTTCTCTTCTTACTTCTAACAAACCAGACGACTACTACTTCTTCTTCTACCTGCATTGTATGAGGATAAAATGGCTCATTCTAAGGTAATAAAAACAGAACAGTTCAATATGTAAGGTCTTCGCCACTGAAAATATAGTTATCTATATTATATTGCATTTCTGTCAGGGACAGTGCACATAAATGAATATTTCTGCTAGCATCAATGTAAATATTCCAGATTTAGCCAGAAGGCTATTTTCCATCTGTAGTCCCTGGTCAGTACAGTCAATACAAAAAAGACAACATAATAAAAACAACAAAAGCAATAGTAGGCTACAGTTCAATACACAAGACAATGTTTCAACGAGCAGATCAAAAACTGGTTATCAAAGCAAATCAATTATGAGTGGACAGTAATTTATTGTAGTGTACGTTGCCATGCTCATACCTTGTTATTAAAGTGCTGTACCTTTATAGTGCTTTATTAGTGCATTAAAGTGCTGTACCTTGTGTGGGACCACACAGCAGGGTGAAACACCAACTGTATGATCCCACAACAAGGGGCCCCACTGACTTGCAGAGTGAGGATACACCAGTGCATCCTTCGCGGAAGTCGTTTACTGACCGACACGCCCCCTTTCTGGGTAGCCCTTATATTGATTGGATGCTGTTATATTTGATTTGTTTTATGATTCACTGTCTAGTTAAAATCTGAGTTCATTGTCTGAACAACAAAAGCCCCACACACAACTTTCTTTTATTAGAAAGATTTTATTTTTCTTTTATTTCTCCTATCAACTTCTATCATGGAGACAATTAAAGTAAGAGAGAGTCGGACAGTCTGTCAGCAAGAAACATGTTTTACATTATTTATCGTCATGTCTTTTCAGTCACATGTGAGGCCGGTCGTTTAGTCCAAATAGATGATTATAAAACAGTAAACAAGTTAGGAGTCGGACAAGTCACAAAACTGCACTTAAGACTCTAATGAAGCAAGCAAAGGAAAATAAAGCCGCTCATCCTGCCGATCTCACCTATTGCATCTGATGAGAGTATCGACGGCTCTGTGAGTAAAATCAGCTGATGAAAGTATGAATGAAAGCCAATGCGCTAAAAAAATTTGATTGAGACTCCATCTGTATGCATTATTATCCCATTAATGCATGTTTGACTTTTGTGAGTTTTGTGCTTTCTCCTCTCTCCTTCTGTCGCTTTCTGCAAGTGTTTCTACCTCCAGATCTGCAGTAATGTTTACTGCCCGTTTCCTAATTCTGGACATGTAAAAGTCCTGAAGGGAGGGCAGATTGGCACAAATGATTTTCTCTGCTGTCCTGATTCTCCGTTGTTCCTGTCCTGTTTGGTTGGCAACCAATACCAGATAGTGATGGATGTGCAGAAAACAGACTATTATTACATTGTAGAACTAAATCAGCAGCACCTGTGGCAGGTTAAACTTCCTGAGCTGGCACACAAAGTGTATCTTGCGCTGAACCTTTTTGAGAGTTTGTCAATGTTGGATGCCCACTTTAGTTCATGGAAGATTTTAGATCCCAAAAACTGCAAGGGGTCCTGCAAAGGGCCTGTGATGTCCTTCAGTTGTCAACAGCAGTCTTATGAGGGATTTCATGACCGCTGACGTCATGATGGGCTAATAATAATTTATTCCTGTAATAGAAGGTTTCTTAAGGACTGGGATTATTGTGGATCACAAGATCTGTGTGAAGATGGGTGCCAGTTAGTCAGGACAGGAGGGTGATACACCATCCAGGTGTAGTGCCTTCCTGATCTTCTGTCTCTGAAAAAGATCCTGAGTGCAAATGGGGGGGTCAGTGGGGAGGGATGAGGTGGTGGCAAGGGGCACAAGTGGTTGCTTAATGTTGAAGTAGGTGTGGGGTGTGAGTGTGGGCTTATCAAACCTGCAGTAAAACCAAGCAGAAACTTCTGCAGCTGAAAATGTGCTAAACTCTGCAGTTCCCCAAATGGCCACTTGAGGCCTCCTCCTTGGTCTGACTTAGCTGCCTGAGTTTTGCTGTAAACCAGGGTTTATTGATGTTGTTTCTGCAGGTTTTATTCGGCACACATGTCCTCATGATGTCTGACAAAAGATGTCACAATGTCAGAGTTCAACCAGGTCTGTAGCTGCAGCCTCAAAAACACTCCAATCATAGCAGTGAAAGTGAGCCTGTAACTCAAGCTTTGCCTCGTTGGTCCATTTCCTCACAAAAGTTGAACCAGACAGTGATCTGAGTCCCAAAGCTGCACGGGGAACAGAGTTAGGCATCCTTTATTAATTTATACTAATGGTCCAGTGTGTTTTTATCCCTGGTGGGACACCTAATATGCTGCTAGATTCTGTCTGTATTTTGGAATTTTATGGCTGAGGTTGCTTTTTTAATTATCAATATAATGTGATATAGTCATTTATAGTTGTGTGCAGTGTAGGTGTGGTCTAGCAGCTCTTGCTGGCCCATACAGGGAGCACTGTCTCAGGGACATCAAGGAGAGCCAGACCCAGCCACAACACCATCAGTCACAGTCATTGCTGGAAGTAGTGATGGTGCTCTCCAGCATCTCAAACCGCCCACTTTGTTTATGTCATCGTACTAGTGTATAGCATCCTCACACAGATGGTCTGGTAGAGCATGGTGGAGTATGGTGACAAATTCATGGATTAGCTTGGTACCAATTTGTAACACATTCAGGTTGTTTGGAGCCCACTTTTCAGCGCCTCATGGACTGGGTGCTGCATCCAAACGTTGCATGTCGTAAGATGTCCTTTCTTTTTTAGAAGTGAGGCAGGGCCTCACTGATCATCACCTGCTGCCCCCTTGGTATACAAGCTGGTGGACTCAGTGACTCACTCTCTCTCTCTGGGCATATTGTTTTGGTCAGGTTTTCCTTGTGTTTGTTCACTACACTTGACTGTACACACATGCAGACATGCAACACACTACTGATCTTAGTGATTTACATATTTTATATATTCATCGGTTAATTTATAATTTGTTAAATAAATCTTTAG